CGCTCTGACCCGGTCCTCTCCCACCAGCCGACTGCAAGTACAAGTTCGAGGGCTGGGGGGCGTGCGACGGGGCCACCGGCACCAAAGCCCGCCAGGGCACCCTGAAGAAGGCGCGCTACAACGCCCAGTGCCAGGAGACCATCCGCGTGACCAAACCCTGCACGCCCAAGACCAAAGCCAAGGCCAAAGGTGGGTGCGGGGTGGGGTGGAGGGGCCGCCCCGACTGAGAGCAGTGTCCTGGCTCTGCAGCAGCCTCCGGCCTGGAAGCGCGAAGTCCCGAGCGCCTGGGGGACCAGGGAGAGCTTTGTTTGGGTCCTCGCCCCAGCAGGGGGGCGCACGTGGTCCCCTCTGCCCTTCCTAGGTGGGAAGGGCTACGAGGGGCAGAAGCAGGCAGATCTGTCCACTGCCCAGGCAGGAAGCCTGGGACCAGGAACCTGGAAACTCCGATCCTGGGTGAAAATACACGAGGTTGACTGAAAGGCCCTGTGGCACCCACTTCCGGGTCAGCGGATGGATGGAAAGTCCAGGGAAGCTGAGTGTGATGCTGCGGGACTGTAATCCCAGCATACTGGAAGGCTGAGGCAGGCTGAGGCAGTCCGAGCCCAACCTGGGCAATTTAGTGACTTAGCAAGATCCTGTCTCAAAGCGAAAAAATGTTGGGGTGTACCTTTGTGTGAAGGCCTTGGGTTCAGTCCCCAGTACCTCATAAGAAAAAAAAATAAAGAACATCACTAGGGTGCAGGATTTTTCCTTGAAGTCCTGGCGTGGGAGTGGGGGTGGGGGTCTCTACTGGGTCGCCATAACCCAGCTAACACCATGTTTCCATCTTGTTTTACAGCCAAGAAAGGGAAGGGAAAGGACTGAGCCGGGCTGGGGTGGCAGAGGTGCCCCTGGCTTTCCTAGGGGCCTGGCCACCCCCTGCCTTCCTGCAGGCCCAGGACACCGCCCACCAGTGCCTTTTCTACACCAGCTTTATCAATCATGCCTCTCACACCCCCACCCACCCAAGTGCCCAAGTGGGGAGGCGCAAGGGATTCTGGGATGTGCCCCTCCCCAGATTTTCAATTCCCAGGGCCCCCTTTGTTCTTCCCCACCATGTTACTAAGAAATGAATAAAACGAACCAACTTCTTTCCCAATAAAAGCTTTTCTTTTCTATAAAAGCCCCTTCCCAGAGAGTGTGCTGTGCAGCTTTGAGGGGAGGGACGGCTGTGGGGGACCAGTGGGTTTAAGGGGCTCAGGGCTTGGTGAGTGCTCCCAGGGCCCGCCTGTGGGAAAGCCGAGCGCCCATGAAGGAATGTCTTCAAGTTCCCCTGTCTGTCTCCCTAAGTCAGTCAGGCCTCATCTCGCCTGGAGAAGGGATCCATGACTCCCTGAGACTCTGTCTCACCGGGACAGGGAACGGCCAGGCAGGAAGTTCCACCAAGGCAGGGGTGGGTACCCAAGTCCTCCCAGACCTGTGGGGTGCAGGAGTGCAGCAGGGAGCCCTGGGGCAGGGGGGGCCAGACCCTAGTGCGCTCAGCCCGCTCTCCCCAAGGGGGGCCCCCAGAGCCTGGCTGGGCATCTGCCCTGTGTGGGGTTTGGGGATAGGGGCTGAGCCTTCATGCGGGATGCGGGGCAGGGAGGCGGAAAGCACCTATCTCAGCAGAACCGGGGGCCGGGGAACCACCCTTCCGGGCCTGAGCCCCATGCTCCCCTCCTCGCGTCCATCCTTCCCGCTGAGGCTGGTTGGCTACCAAGGGGCGACAGACATGGGCAGTTTGGACCTCCCTGGGCCTAGGCCGGGACCTGGTCTTGAAATCCAGCCAGAGCCACTTCCTGAGCCTCCATCCTCTGCAGCAAACGGGACCGTGGGACAGGGCCTCCACTGGGTGGTCCCCCAGCCCGCACGACAGCAGCACCTCCTGGGCTCGCCCGCCCGCCTACCTGGCGGTGCCGATGTTGCGGTACTGGCACAGCAGTAGGTGCCGGAAGGTCTTTTTAAAGGTGGCGTTGCAGAGCGCGTAGCAGGCAGGGTTGATGGTGCTGTTGACGTAGCAGAGCCAGTAGCCGATGGACCACACGGTGTCGGGGATGCAGCTGCGGCAGAAGGTGTTCACCAGGACCATGACGTTGTAGGGTGTCCACGTGAGGATGAAGGCCAGCAGGATGGCAAAGATGGTCCGCGTCACCTTGCGCTCCCGGGCCGCCATCTGCCGCTTCTTGCGCACCTGGTTTCGAGCGATGCTGGCAAACTTGCGGGCCACGTTGGCTGCTGGGCGCATGCCAGCTGGTGTGGCGGGCACGATCTCGATGGCTGTCACACACTCGCTGCCTGTCTGCTTCGTCACTATCTGGATCTTGGACCATTTGGAGGCCGGGTTGAGGGTCCGTGGCTGTAGGGCAGGGGCAGGCGCGGCCTCTGTGGTAGACAGCTCCGTGGGGGGCCGTTCCTTGGTGTTCTGGGTGGCGCTGCCCGA